GTCTGGGCCATGGTCTCGCTGCGGCGCTTGCAGGAGATGCACAGAATTTTGAAGGTCATCCCGTACACGGCCTCGGTCTCCGAGTCCACCTCCACACAGCCCCCCCAGGCTGAGGACACTGCGGGGACAGCAGGCTCAGGTCGAGCAGGGCCACCCCTCGCCCTAGGCAGTGCCAGGCTCACTGTTTGTTGGCTCTCGGAAACCATCTGTTTCCCCTCAATAACGATTATGAATGGACAGAACCAGACGCGAAGCCTGGCCCTGCCACTTGCTGGGTGCCTTTGGCAAGTCACTCATCATCTCTGGCCTCAGTTTCCCTCTGTGAGGGGAGGGAAACCATCATCTCTGCTTCTGGGGGTTGCTGGGCAGAGTCCATGAGTTAGGTAAGGCCCCAGCAGGGGGCCTGCCACACAGGAAGCACCCCCCCACCCCCATCCCCTGCCCCAGCAAAATAGGGCTGTCACTGTGGTCAGGGACTTCAGAGTCTTTGCTCTCTACCCAAGTAGATACCCAAGTAGCCCTTCTTAAGAAGTCCACTTGCCCAAGGGGCTGCAGCATTTAGGTGGCGGGGCTAGAATTCTAGATGGGTTAGAAGCTGGCAGAGTCATTTCTACTACTACTGCTCTGCAAAACCAGCCAGCCCGAGACGGTGGGTTGGGAAAAGGCCAGGCCTCAGGGGGCTAGGTGGGCACTGGGGGCGGGGCAGACCTGCCTTCCTGCCCTGTTCCCCAGGCCCCCAAGTTCTGCTGTCATCCACTCCCTACCCAACTTCTGCCTCTGGCCCCTCTGCCCCCAAGGCCCCTCCCCTCCGGACTCCTGTCCCACCTCCTTTCAGCTTCTCAAAACTCACTGAGCTCTTTGCAGCAGCGCTGGATTCCAGTACTTTTGGGTGCCTCAGCCACATTCTTACGTGCCACCCCCTTCCCAAGGCCCAACGCTCACCAGCCAGTGCTGGGCCTCTCAAGCTCCAGCTCTGGGTGTTCTCCTTTCTCCCTGAGTGTCTTCGTCTATGAATCTTGGGGACTTCTTGTCCGCCGCCTCTCGGTCTCTCTCCAACTCCTTACGGACCTCTGTGTCTGTCTCCCCTACTTTCTATCTCTTAGGAAGTCCCTCTGGAGGGCCCACAGCCTCGGGTCCTCTTTCCAGGCACAGACAGCCTCTTCCGGTCCCTCTCTCCACCTCTCCCTGTCCCTTTTACACTCCATATCTTCCTGTGTGTCTACCTGCGTCCGTCTGTCCCTGCCCCTCTCAAGTTTCTCTCTCCAGCGCTCCGATTTCTAACTCGCTTCTCGGCCTCTCTCCGGCACCCTCTACATCCCTCTCGGTCCCCTTCTCCCCCCTTAACTTCCAAGTCCCACTCTCCGCGGAGCACGCCCGAGTACTCCGAGTCGCTGTGTCTCTCGTGCCTTCCCCTCCGTCCCCGTGTCTCGGTCTCCCCCGTCCCAGTCTCCGGGCGCCGCCTTCCCCCACCCCCTCCCGCGGCTGTGGGTGTCACATTGCAGCCTGCGGGGCTCCGAGAGCAGCTGACTCCGCGTTTCCTCGCCCCCGGCTGGGCGCCCGCAGCCGCCGAGCTGTGCCACCCCGGCCCCCGCCCGCTCTCGCCCACCCGCACCTCCACCGCCCTCCCCCGCCCCGCGCCCCGCGCTCACAACTTCGGGAGCGGACTTAGCCGGGCCGGGAATGGGCCGGGGGCGGCCCTCGCCCCGCCGTCCCGGGTCCCGCGCGCGAACCCCGCCGCCAGACCGCTGCCCAGGCCGTGCCCTCCGCCGCCCCGCGCCACCGCGCACTCACCCAGCGCCGCGCCGACCAACAAGGCCAGCAGTGTCCCCATGGCTGCGCTGCGCGCGCGCTGCGCCCCCCTCCCGGGCCGCCGGTATTAATAGCGGGGCAAGAGGCAGCGGGCCCGGGCGGCGGTTAGAATGTCCCCGGGAGCGCGCGGGCGCAGCAGCTGCGGCTCTGGGACCGGCGGGGGGGGGGGGCGGAGGGGGGGCGCGGCCCCCCCGCTCCGGTTACCGCCGGGGGCCCAGCCCCGGGGCCCGGCGTCCGGGCATCCCTGCCGCGCGGGCGACGGCCGCTGCTCGAGCTGTTGCGCTGGCGCGCGCGGCGGGGCGCATTCGCCAGGTGCACGGACCCCGGCCCCGCTCCAGCTCGGGCGCGCTGAGGCGCGGGCCGCGGTCTCCTGCGCACTGCAGCGGCGGCGGCGGCGGCGGCGGCGGCGGCGGCCTGGGGAGGGAGGAGGGAGCGGGAGGGGGCGGGATGAATCACCGCGGGGGGAGGGCGCGGCCGCCCAGCCTTTGCCGCAGCGGCCCGGGAGGCGCCCGCCGCACCGGCCTCTCCGGTGGCGCAGGGACCGCGGCTTCTGGGCACGGGCGGATGGCCCGGGTATCCCCGGCCCCTCCCGACGCCGGGGACCCCCGGCATCGGAGTCTGGAAGAGTTCACCCCCAGAGTCCTAGGAGGGCTTAGAGGGCGTTTGAGGGGCAAGGCTTCCGACTTCAGTTTATGGAGGTCATCTTCCAGGGGAACTTGGTTGGGACCTCCAAGTGACCTCCCCCTCAGATCCCTGGCATCTGGACCTGAGGGTCACCGTGCAGGAACCCAAGTGGGCATGAGGTGGGGGGTGTCAGGCTAGAGCCACCGAGGATACTTCAGACTCCACCCAAACAGGAGGGAGGGGCATGCCGGCTCTAAACCAGAGAGGCTCCTCTGGGGGTTTGGGGTACCATGTTTCAGGAGGAGGGTTCTTGGTCTCCCATGTCATTCACCCACCCCCACCTCCTCCACTCTGTCCACCATCCAGGCCCCTGCTGCTGTTCCCCACACACCAAACTTATTCCTGCCTCAGGGCCTTTGTTGTCTTCGCTCTTCCCTCTGCCAGGACACAGGCCTAGAGCAGGCCACCCTCCGCCTGCTGTTCTCTCTGCTCTTCCCTCTGGTAACCAAAAGGCCCACCCCCTCTTCTCCAGCCGCTCCTGGCCCCAATGTCACCTTCTTAGGTCTTCTGTCCATTCCCGGAAACTGCCTCCCCTGTCCCTTACCGCGGTTGTCACTACCTGAAATTTTACTCTTCATTTATTTAGATCCTTTCACCGCCTGTTCCTTCAACCCTGGGGTCCAAGATCCCCCAGGTGAGAACACTGTCCTGTGCCACTGTATCCCCAGCACCCGGAACTGTGCCGGGCACATTATAGGTCCTCAATAAATATTCATCAAATGAATAAATATATGCCGATGCTAGAGCCCTTCTCATATGCTGGATCCATTTCTATCTCCCCAACACTGGCAGCAAGGTCTAGTATTATCCCCATTTTACAGAAGAAACCGAGGCTGAGAGTGGCTCACCCCCTTGCCTGGGGTCATGTAGCGGGTAAATGTGGCACCCTGCCCCAGCAATGGTACGGGGTTTGTCCTATTAGTAGGTTCTCCCAAATGGAGAGGTTGGGGTTGGGGGCTCTGGGCTGCCAGGACCAGGGTGGGAGTGAGCCTTTTGGCTGGCTGCTCAGGTCCTGGCCTCTAGTTTTGGGTGGGGTGAAGTTCCAGAGAATCCCCCTGATCCAGTCCTGCAGAGGAAGAGGAACAAGGGATGTGGGGCGGGCTCCAGGCAGAGGAACAGGAAGCCAGGGACACTGGACACCTTTGTGGTCTGGGCCTCTGTGCCAACACCTCCTGGGCTGTGAAATTCCCCTGCAGAAAATAACTCTCTCACTGTTCCGAGCCCTCCCTCTGGCAGCGGGTGACAGGCAGAGGCGGTGAGGACAGGCCTTGGGCATCGGGTAAGGGCATCTACCCACAGCCCTACAAGCTGGTGTCCGCGGAGCACCTACTATGGGGTTGGTGCTGTTCTAAGCACTTTACTAATAGGAACTGAAATTCTCTCCACATGGTGGTTATTACCATTATTCCTAATTAACAGGCATGGGAAACTGAGGCCCATGGCGGGTGGCTAACTTGCCATGACCATACAGCTAGAGAAGAGGCTGGGTCTGCCCTTTGCCACTTGTGGTCCCTCCCGCCTCCGTCCAACCCCTCCTCCAGTCCTCTGCCTCAAGCCCTGAATCAAGAAGTTTCTTACAGCCTGACTGTGACATGTCAAAGTTCACTCCTTACCCCTCACTTACTCCGGAACCAGAACAGGGTTGAGTGAGACAGACCTGGGTTCAACCTGGACCAGAGACTTTGCCTCTAAGCCCATTTCTTCATTGGTAGGACAGGGATCCCGATGGCCTCAACCTGGACAGGCTGTGGGGTCCCGCAGGGGTAGGACCTTGCCATCTAAGTGTGGAGACCCTGGCGACCGGGCCTGCAGCCCTCGTCCTCTGCAGAGTGGCCTCAAACATGTAACTCTGTCTGCGTCACATGGAGTCGCCGGGAGACTTAAAGGAACACCAGAGCCTGGCACGGAGCCTGGTGCACGCTTGGTGCTTCCTACAGGAGTGACTTTTCTCTCCCAATTCTTCCATGATGAGTAACATTATTGGAAACTTACTCTGCGCCAGGCCCTGTTGTAAGCAGCCACGTTTATGAACTCAACTGCTGTAGTAGTGGCTTGTGGAGCAGACCCTCTGCTCACTCCAGATCTGCGGACTCAGAATTCGGAGGGGTGGGGGGCTCTGGCACCCTTTCAATAAGCCCTCCGGGAGATGCTGGCGCAGCTCAAGTTGGAGACTAGTCACTTCCAAGAACGTTGGGAGACAGGTGCCTCTTTTATGCCCATTGTACAGAAGGGGAAACCGAGGCTCAGAGGGCCTGACCCTACTCCATGTTACATGACTGCAAAAGATCAGGGGTAGGACTTGAACTCAGGCCTCTAGGCACCTGACTCGGTCCTCACAGCCTGGCACTGGACCCTGATGACGCAAGGCTTGTGGAAGATGCTGGAGGATCCCAGATCATGTCAGTGACTCAGGCCCCAGAAAATGGACAGACTCCCCCCTCCCCCCATCCTTCCAGTGCGATGGGAGGCTCCCACCTGCTCCCAGGGACCTCACAGGCACAGCCACAGCCATTTCCAACGCTTTATTGGGGATGTCAGCCCCAAATAAATATAATACATTAAACCCAGAGCTGAGGGCATCGTGCACCCCGGAGGCACCCCCCCACAACCCCAGCTGGGCAAAATAAGTTAGCGGGGGGCCTGCCGAAGGCCAGGCCAGCTCCCTGGCTAGGCAGGCGATGGCAGCTGGACTCGCACACGCTGGTCTAAAGTGCATCTCGGTTCTGTGGTCCCCATGTCTGTGTGGCCCCTGGTGGGTCACTGGGAGGGGCGGGCGGGAGGCTCCCGACGCTCACACCGTGCCAGCAGTGGCCGCCGAGGCTCTGTGTCCATCTGTCCGTTAGGGGGGTTGGCCACGTGGCTGGGCATCCTCAGGAGAAGCTGTCGTCGGGCCGTGGCTGGGAGTCGAAGGGCGGGTCTGAGACGGTGATGCCTTGATGCAGCTTCTCCAGCGAGAACTTCATCTGGGAGGAAGAAGCGGGCAGGGTTGGGGTGAGTGCTGGCAGTGGTGAGGGTCCTCCCCTTCATGCCCTTGAGGAACCGGGCAGGGTCCAGAGAGGCCACAGGCCCTGCCAAAGTCACCCTGTGACACCAGCGGAGCCATACTGCACCCAGTTTAACTTCCAAGGTGCTGCAGATGGAAGGGGCCCAGGTGGCAGAGGTTCAAGTCAAGGCTCTGCTGCTGCCCGGGTAGCCCTGCGCAAGCCCCTTAACCATCCCAGGCCCCTCAGCTGATAGACGGGTCAGTCACAAACCTGCTTCACAGATTATTTCAGGGATGCCAGGCAAACACCTGGTACTCAGCACACAGGAGCTGCCTGATGCACATTAGCTACTCTTCTCCCCTGCTTGTGCCCTTGAGCAAGTCTGAACTTCGCAGACCTTAGCACCCTCACCTATTAGACGGCGGGAGGGGGGGGGGGGGGGGAGGAGGTAACACGAGCATCCCTCTCCCAAGATGGCTGTGAGGGGTGAATCAGTGGGTCATAGCAGCGCATGGAAGAGCCCAGATCAACCCGTGTCTGCTGCTAACAAGTCTAGGAAGTCGACTCTGTGTCCCTAGCAACTTAAGGGAGGAAAACAATGGGAATTGAACTTGGGATGGAGAGGCCCTGCCACCCGTCTGTGTGAGTGATGGGACCCCAGCCTCGATGCCCTCCCACCCTGTTCCACACAGCCCTTCCCAGCATGAGTATCTCCCCGCAAGGCGTGACCTCAGGTGGCAGCAAGGCCCCTACGTGTGGCCTCTGCATAGTGGTCCACAGTAACCCCATGTGACTTCACAATTACCCACCAACCTGCGCTCTGCTACCCTCGGGCGCCCAGCCAATGCCAGCCAGCTCTCAGTTCCCCCCACGCCCCCTCCCACCTTGGCTACTACCCCAGAACCTGACATTAGCGCTGACCCACCACCACATTAATTGGGCACCTACTGTGTGCAAGCATTGGGCTCACACTAATAACAGCAAATACACGTACAGTGCTTACTCTGAGCTCGACACTGTTCATATGTGAGCTCACTTATCTTCACAACAGTCTTTGAGGGAACAGCAATCGTTAGTCCACTCACAGGGAAGGAAACCAAGGCTGGCAAGGGTGAAGTCACTTGCACAAGGTCACACACCAGAATGTGAACCTCGCCATGTGTACTACAGACAGTGTCTGGGGCAACCCCTTCTGGAGATAAGACCCTAATAACCTTTGAAGAAATTCTTCCCCACCCTCGCCTGACTCTAGTCACCCCAAAGCAGGGGTGGGGCTCAAGGACCAAACCTCGCCTACCCCCAGCCGCTGTGACTGGTTCAGGGATGGGCGTGTGACCCCAGCAGCCCCTGAGAATGAGCTCTCTCCTTCGCATGTCAGCCTAGAGCTGCAGGTACGCCCCTGGTCAAGGGTGGGAGGGGAGGATGCCCTAAACAAAGCCGCCCCCGGGGGGGTGAGCAGAGTCAGGAGATGGTATGAGAGTGGCTGGATCCAACCATGCCTGAAGTCAGACGCCCATGGACATCTTTCCTGGGATGAGAGCCAATTCTTTCTCCTACTTTTCCAGCAACCCTGGGAGCCAGGGACTCTGGACAGTTTCCTCATTTTACAGAGGAAGAAACTGAGGCCCAGGTGTGCGTGCCACAGGGTGGGATCCGAGCACAGGGCCCTCGCAAAGCCGCACCTCGTCCAGGAGCTCCACGGAGGCCCTCAGGATCTGCCTCCACTTGTGCACCTCGACGCTGTGGAACTGCTTCTGCAGGGCTAGGATCTCCGCCCACTCCGTGGCCGTCTGGGGGAATTTGCTGCGGGGGATGCAGGGCCTGAGGCGGTGGCCCTTCCTGACCTGCCCAAGCTCCCAACCCCCTCGGAGCCCCCGCTCACCCCTTGGCCAGGGCCAGACTGTGCCAGGACTCAAAGGTATGGGCCGTCCTCTCCAGAGACCAGAGGCGGTAGAAGAGGAGGACGTTGAGGGCGATGAGGACGATGAGGCTAAGGGCAGGGGGCAGAGGTCAGAGGTCAGAACCGGCATGCAGCCACTCCCGGCACCCTCACCACCACACCTTGAAGGAACACTACAATTACCCCCTTTTCAGAGGAGAAAGGGAAGGCTCAGAGAGGGTGAAAGACATGCCCAGGGCCACACAGTCCATGAGCAACAGAGTCAGGGTTCAAATCCAGGCCTGACACCCATGGCCCCTAACATGCCACAGCAGGCCACCTCGCTGGGAGAGCTGGGGGCCCGGAGTGGGAGAAGGGGCCACAGCTGGGAGCGAGGCGGGGGGTGGGGGGGCGCAGGATGCAGGGCCCTACCTCACGCAGATCCTGAGGCGGCAGCAATGGGGAGACAAAGAGATGAGAGCCGCCCCTGCCCCTCCGGAAGCATGCCACACAGTCCCTCTCTGGACTGCCCGTGCTGGGAAACTGAGGCCCGGAGAGGCTGAGTGGTGACGAAACTGACTCTCACCTCCCAGGGTCTACTGGAAGCTTGGACCTCGCTTCCAGGTCCTCAGAGTGCCCGGATCCCCCACCCCCACCCCCCAGGCCTTTGTGCACCTGAGTGTCCCTGCCCCGGCGCCCTAGGATCTCAGCTCAGGAATCCTCTGCTTTCCCAGGAAGCCTTCTCCTGCCTCCCACAGCTTCCCTGGCCCATCCCTGTCCCCCAGTACCGTGCCCTGGGGTTAGATCCATTAGTCACTGCTGTGACCCCAGTGTCACCCAGGTTAGGGCTGGGCACGAAAGTAGGAAAGACATGTGTAAGTGATGGCGCTCCTTTCCCATATCTCTTCTGGCTCACCTCAGTCCACCTACTTTGGGTGCCTCCTCCTCCAGAAAGCCCTCCCTGCTCCCTGGGCAAGGCCAGGCCCCTCTGACCTCCCAGAGCCCCCAGGGCTTCCCCCTCCCAGCAGGACATACTTCTCCATGACCAACTGAGCAGCACACCGGGTAAGGAGCCCTGGGCACATTCCAAACATCCTCTCCTTTCATCTCTGCTTTTGGCTATAAGGTGCACCCATGTTCCCGCTTCTGCAGAGGCCCAGAGAGCCCAGGCACCTGCCCGAGGTCACACAGCCGGAATGCAGGTCCAGGCCCGGGTGACCCCAGAGCCCGGGCCCCTTACTCACACAATGCTGATGAGAACAAGGGCACTGGGGATGCCTGCCCCAGGGCCCTGGTCCACGGACGGTTCCGAGAAGCGCGAGCTGAGGGAGCCTGGAGAAGTCAGACAGATGGGAGTCAGACAGACCCATCCCGGCATGGCCCCCTGGGCCCTCCTCCTCCGCCTGTCCCGACCAGGCCTGAGCAGACGCACCCGAGGTGTGCATGGCAGCCCGGGCACAGGGGTCAGGGTCCGGGTGCTGGGGCCCGTCACCGTGACCCCGCCAGCTCAGGGGCCGCTTCCGCCTCCGCAGGCCCGACAGCAGTCCCCGGGCATCCTTCCCGCCTTCCTCCAGGGACAGCTTCTCAGCTTTGGCAAGCTCGCGCTCTGTGGACACAGGAGAGGCCTCTGCATGGCTGCCCCTCACCAGGCCCCGAGTCATCCCCGGCCCCGCCACCTTCCAGCCCCTACCCAGGTGGTGGAAGTAATCTTCGATGCCGCTCCACGAGTTCTTCTCGATAAGTGACTTCACGAGGCTCCAGGGCTGTTTCCGGTAGCGGATCTCGGAGGACACTCTGGGGTTGGGGGAACAGGGCGAGGGGGTCAGGGTCTGACTCCAAGGTCGCTGCCCCATTCCCCAGGGGGCGCTTTCCTTCCTCCAGTTCAGAGAGGGCCCCTTGTCACCCGCAGACACACACCTTTGCAACTCTCCCGACCTCAGCAGCGCCCACCCACTCTGGCGGCTGAGCCCGCGCCCCCTTCCCGGACTCCTCTCTCGGGCCGCGGCACCCCAGCTCCCAGACACGGAGTCTAGGAGCAGCTCAGCACATCCCAGACGAAGCTCCTGATCTTCCCCCGAAACCTTCCCACCTTCCTCATCCCGGTCAAAGGCAGCCTCATCCTTCTGTTGGCTCAGGCCGGACACTGGCAGGCGTACCTGACACATCTCCCGGAGAAAGGGGACTGTCTGCACCCCCACCGTCTGGAACAGTGCCAGGCACAGAGCACATAATCCATAGCTGACAAACAACTGGCCCGATCACTTGTGCACTCAGTCACTCGCCTGCTTCCGGCTCAACCTATTCCACGGACTGGGAAGAGGTCCCCGGGGCTGCCCTCGTCTACCCTCCGCTATTACCAACATCGTGCTGCCGACCGGGGGTGGGGACAGAAGGGCGGGGACCCTGGGAGCAGCAGGGTGCCCGGTGAGGGGCCAGGCCTCCGCTCACCGGAGTCGGGCCTTGTTCCGGGCAAGGCCCAGGATGCAGTAGCGGTGGGCGGTGTAGAAGTAGTCCTGGTAAGGGATGCCCTGCGTCAGCACCTCGGAGTCCACCACACACCCGCCTGCCTGCGGGCCCCGCCGGAACAGCGTCTGCAGAGATGAGGGAGGAGCGCGGGGTCAGGGCCACACCACCCGGCCACGCCACCCGGCCACGCCACCCAGCCCGCGCTCTGCCTGGCCCACCTGTGTCTCCACCACGGAGGCGCTCTTGGGGCCCAGCGGGTTGCTGATGGGAATGGTGTACGTCAGCACCCGCCGCTGGTGGCACTTGCTGTCCCCGCTCCAGGGACTCAAGGTCACATCTGGAGGAGGGAGGAAGAGAATGAGGACACCGTTCTCCAGTCTTCTGCCCACAGGCTGCAGGAGAAAGCTTTTGGGATAGTGCCAGTTCTCTGGGGACCTGCCCCTACACCCACCGAGCCTGCAGGCCCCACCTCCCTTCTAGACACCTAAAACTGCAGATGCTGGTAATTCAGAGCTCGGACCTCTCTCCTCCCGACACTTCTCACCCATCCTGGGGCCATCTCGTCCACTCTCCCTGAGCCTCAGACCTAGGGCCCTGTGACCTCCTGAACCCTAGCTCTTAGAAGTTCTCCAGGCACCTCACACCCACCAGGTCCCACGCTAGCTTCCGCACCCCCTTAACCTCCCCTCCTCTCGGGGTGCCACTGCAGCCCCACCATCCCCCAGGCTCCCTCCCCTGAGTGTCCACTCGACCTCCTGAGCACTGCTCCTGCCTCAGCCTATCCCTGCCCGCCCAGGGTCCCACTCCAGCCCCTGGGGACTTGTGGCCACAGTCTCCACCTCTGAGGTCCGGGGGTAGCTTCTTAAAGCCAGGCGTGCCCCCTGCCCCTAGCCTGCCTAGAACACTCCATGGTTCTCCAGGACCCCTGGACAGAGTGTTGAGTTCCTCTGTCTGATGTGCCAGTCTGTCCAAGACATAAGCCTAGTTTTGAAGACTGTGGGGCCCCGACTCAAGGCACAGCTTTACTCCTTCTGCAGAGGACTTACGTGGTTCATTTCCATCGATACAGAAAAAAGAAAGAGAAAGAAACTACCTTCTGACTGGCCCTCCCCTGCCTGAATCTCTTAGCTGGTCCCTCGGTCAGCCCTTCCATGTCACCTGGTGCTGGGGCTTCACCTCGCCACGCCTGGCCACAGAGGCCCGGCTTCAAGGGACTCTCCCAATGTCTGCCTCTGGCCTCAGGAAGTTTGCAGATGCCTTGCCGGCCTCCTCGGTTTCTCCCCCATCACCTCCCTCTTCCCAGGAAGGGTTCCTCCTTCAGGCCTTGAAGGAGGCCTCAATTTCACATCCTTCCAGCAGCTTCCCTTGATTCCCCTCAGATCACAGCTACCCCTCTGACACAGTCCCAGCACATGTGTGACTTACTTGTGTGTTTATTTACTGTCGTTCTCATTAGATTCTCGAGTTCATCTGTCCTGGCCTCTGCACAAATCTGACAGACTGGGCGCTGAACGTATGACCGTGAACTTGTATTTATTAAATGCTTACCATTACTACTGCTCTGGTATTAACTTTTCTGGTATTAACTCACATAGTTCTCAGGAGATCCAGATACAGTAGGTACTATTACCACACCCCCAATATACACCAGAAGAAACTGAGGCAGAGAGGCTTGGAACTCAGCTCAAGGCCACTCAGCTAGTTAAGAGCCAGAGCCAGTCCGGCCCCACAGATGCTGCTTCTAACCCAGCAAGGGTGCCACAGCTGCACAATGGCCACTGGCTGTCTCCTGCTTCCTCCTCCCCACCCCCGCCCCATGCCTGTGCAACCTCAGCCCCCTGACCTGTGAACTTGCACTGCTGCAGGAAGCCCTGCAGGAAGGGCGAGTCTGAGAAGAGCATCTGCTGGAGCCGCTCGGCACCCACGTGGAAGACGGAGTTGATGAGCAGACGGCCAGACAGGTCAGGAAGCAGGGCGGCCAGGTCAGCTGGGTGACGGAGAAGGGCAGTGGATGACGCATTCCTCCCTCCTCGGGATGGCCTCTCAGTTTCCCTCTGGGTGACTGCTCCCTTCCCCGCCCAGGCCTTGTGCACTGGATGGACAGACCGATCCTCCCAGGTGGAGCTCCACTCAGAGTGCTCCTAGGCTCATTTCCGCCACAGGGCTGGCTTTAGGGTGGGCATGTGCCCCGGGCCAGCCAATCAAAGCCACCAGGAGTGGTTCAGGGGTGGGCCTGGGCTCTCAGCCACAGTAATTGGTTCAGGGGTGGACTTGTGGTCCTGGTTGGACCAATCAGAGCCAACCCTAGAGATTCTGGTGCAGCCCCTGGGAAAAGCATGCTTTTTCTCAACTAGGCTTGTCTGGGGCAAGGCTGGGGCTTTCTGTGCCCCACAAACACAGCAGCTACCTGAGAATGAAGCTGGCACAGAGAAAATGGAAACGGTAATAATAATAACAACAGGAGCCAACACTAACTGGCCTGAGTCCTTTACATATATTAACTCATTTCAGTTTTCTTAACAATGACCCTAAGTAGGTATTATTATCACTAACCCCATTATTCAGGCAAGTAAAATGAAGCTCGAAGAGATTAAATAATTTGCCCAAGTCAGACAGACAGAATTTGGCCCTTCAGAGTCTGTGTTCTTATCTACTCTGCTCTGCCGCCTTCAAAGCACAGCTAAAGGCAGACAGCTTTCTAACGCCACCATTTGAATGCCTTACCTGCCTGCCCACCCCTTGGATTTTTTAGTCCCGTGAGCCAGCCTGAGTAGGGTTTGTCACGTGTAACCGAAGTGAAGGACTCGGGCCACCTGCCTCACCTTCCTCTCCTGTGGATGAGGAGGAGTTACTTGTGTCTGTCAACAGTTCCTCACTGCGCAGCAGGTCCAGGGGGCCCAGGGACGTGGGCCCATCAGGCGGGGTGGGCTCTGTGCTTGGGGGCTCAGCCACCGGGGTCACCGTCTGGCTGGAGGAGGCGTCGGGCTGGCTGTCTGTCTGCTCCTCCTTGTCCTCCTCTGCCTGCAGAGAAACGCTCAATCTAGCTTTGTCCCACGGCCATTCCAGCCCGAGGGCCCCTGTGTGCCCACAGTGGCCATAAGGAGTCAGCACCGTAGGAAAACCAACGCTGGAGGGCCATGTATGCACGTAAAGCTTCCAGCTGAGCATCCGCAAGGGGCCCTGGGGCTGCCGGATGAGGCCCCTCTCAGTCCCTACCAGGCCTGTCCTGGGTGCCTGGGCCATAAGCCTCCTGATGCCCCTCCTGCTCATCGGTCTATCCTGTCTTGCCTTGTCTGTCTCCTACTGCATCTGTCCATCTGTCCGTCCGTCCGTCCATCCATCCATCCCTTGCTTCTTCTATCTCTTAGCTTTTCCCTGCCTGTCTGCCGGTTAGCCGCTCTCTCTCATTCCGTTTTCTTTGCCATCTTCTCAGGTCCATCCCATTCCTCCATCCATCCCCTCGTCTCCTCCCCACCTCCACCCCTCAGCCTGTCCCTCTCCCTGACACCACCGCCCACCTTCCTCTCTCTTGCTGTCAGCACCCTCCTCTGTCCCCCATCCTCTGCTCACCCCGTGGTCTGCATCGCTGCTGGCCCGGGATAGGTTGGGGGTGAGGCGGCCACGGCGTGAACCCACCGGGCTCGGCTCCTGGCTGTTGTCAGCTGCCCCAGAGGGGGTGATGTCACTCAGTGCGATCACATCTCCCACTTCCTTGGGGTTCCTGCGGGAGAAAGGGAGGGTGTGGGATAGCCGTATCTTTGAGACCCCGCACACCCTCCTGGTCGCCCGGACTATACACCCACCTCAGTCTGGCCAGGACACCAGGAGCTCTGCACACGGCCCCTACTGTCTCTCCCCACCCCAGGAACCAGCCACCAGCCTCTGACTCACCCCAGACCATTCAGCTGCAAGGGGCAGACGTAGTCCTCATCCTCGCTGGTGAGGCCCAGCTCCGAGCCGTAGCACTGATGCACCAGGTGCCAGAGCTCGCGGGGACTCAGCGTCTGGGCAGGCAGGACACAGGGTTGGCCTGAGTTTCCTTGGGCCCAGAACCCTTCTGTCTCTACCAGCCCGCAGACACAGTGCTCCCCTGGCGTCCACAAGGGGGCAGCCCTCACCCAATCTGGCTCCAGTCCACTGGCACCAGGAGCCGGGGCTGTCTGGACTTTCCCCTTGGTCCTCACGATACTCCCGCATCTACAGGTTAGCATCCCCAGACTTACAGAGGAGAATGCGGGGGCCCAGGGAGGGAAACCACGTGCTGAGGCCACACAAGTGACCAGGGGCAACCCAGGGGTTCAAACCCAGCCAGACCCCAGAGCCAACGCTCCCACCCCCAGGCCGTCCTGCCCCGGACTATCTTCCTAAGCGTTCCTGGCCAGAGCGGCCTCCACCCGATGACGACACAGTGGTGGTAAGAACAGTAAGAGCAGCAGCAGGGCAGCCATCCACTGAGCTGTTACCAGGTGCCATTCTTCCAACCCCCTCCCACGCAATCCCTGAACCTTCAAAAACAATTCTGTAAAGTGCTAATGTCGTCAGTTTAAGGCAATGACGCTGAGGCACAGAGGGGCTCAAGTGGCAGGGCTGAGATGGGTCCCCGGGGAGGGGCCAGTCTAGCACCCTGGAGCTCACCATGGGGTGTGTCTGCCCCGTAAGAGCTGACGTGACACTCATGCTGGGCTCAGCCCTGGTGCTCTGATGTCGGGAATGCCCCTGTCGGACGGGGCTCGGCGACCTGCTCCAGGTCACTCGGCTCCTCAGGATGGCAGTCTGAGCTCCAGCCTGAGCTCTGAACCCTCTACTGGCCCCGTCCTCCCTCCCTGACGCTGCACCATTCTTCCTCAGGCTCCTGCTCTGGCGTTCTGGCCCCTGAGGACGGGCATGGCCGGAGCTGCCCCCAAGCGGACAGGACAGGAGTGCAGCCAGAGAGGCAGGCTTGGCCCTCTGAGGTGCTGCGAGCCAGCAGGGGCAGCCTCCCCGATGCCTTCGGCCCCTCCCTGCCAGCGGAACCCCAGTGTGTTCAGGGTGAGAGTCTTCCCCAGCCCTACGGATACATAGGTATACTAATATAACTGGTTTACATCAAGTTTTCCATCTTTCCTTTGCAACTGAGGGTGGTCATGTCACCCAGTTCTAGCCAAAGAAATGCAGAGCCCCCTTTAAAGGGGGGCTTTTCCTCCCCGATAAAGGAAAAGTCCCCTTTCTATCCACCTGCTATCTCCATCATGTCTGTGAGGGCACGATGCTACAGCTGTAGAGGCCATCCTACAACCACGAGGCAAAACCATGTGGACAAAACAGCAACATGACGCAGTGACAGGAAGGTAGAATAAACAAGAGCTTGGGTCCCTGAGGACATGGGGGAACCCCAAAGCCACCCTGGACTGCCTGCCTCTAGACCTCTAGTTACATGAGCGTCAGCTGGACACAGAACCTAACTGCAACGGATCAGAACCCCAGCTCTGCTGCAGGAAAACCCTTGTGGCCACGGGCAAGTCTATCCCTCCATGCTTCATCGGTAAAACAGGTAATAACCACACTGCCTCGTAGGGTGAATTAATTCATGTAATGCTCAGATCAGTGCCTGGCAGCCAGTAGCACCATAAGTATTAACTATTATTATTACTTTATGAAGTAACTCAGTATCTGTTTGCTTAAAGCATGTTTGGTTGAGTTTTCAGTTACTTGCAGTCGACTGTATCCTACATAAACTCATGCAACCAAGTGAGCACTGTGGGACAGTGTGCCCAGGCTAGCGCACCGCAGACCATCAGAAGGTGAGAAGTCTAGGGGCACCTGGGAGGCTCAGTCGGTTAGGCATCAGACTCTTGATTTTGGCTCAGGTCATGATCTCACGGTTTGTGGGTTCGAGAACCACATCAGGCTCTGCACTGACAGGGCAGATTGGGATTCTCTCTCTCCCTCTCTCTTTCTCCCCCCATACCCCACTCTTATGTGCTCAGTCTCTCTTATTCTTGAATAAATAAACTTAAAAAAAAAAAGAATGTGATAAGTCTGAAAGCCCTTACTCAGTACCTGTGGGGCAAGATGTAATTCAAAATTAAGCTGTTTGGAGGTTTAAAAAAGCTAATAGAGAGTAATACAATTCCAATAATGAGAACCATATTATACTTAGTATCCAGTGCAATATATACCAAAGGTTCTCAGAGTGTGGTCCAAGAATTTCTGGGGGTCCCCAAACCCTTCCAGGAGATCCATGACACCAAAATCACTTTCATAAGTGTATTAAGTGTTAATAGTAGTATAAGATGTCACTTGCTTTTTTCACTTTTATTCTCACACTGGTACATGGTGGAATTTTCCAGAGACTACATGACATGGGATGCTGTCTTTTTCCAGTGGCTAATGCAGTATGTGTTCCTGGTTTCTTGTGTTTAAGAATTCCTCAGTCTCAATCTATGATACAGGAAATATTGGTAGACACAGCCCACCTAAACAAAAGCTCTTTGGAGTCTCCAGTTATTTTAAAAGAGTATAAAAGCTTCCTGAAGCCGTAAAGTTGGAGAATTACTGGTATATTCTATATCGGACGGATGTCACAACTTTATATTGAATTCCAATTATATCTACGATTTACCCCAGTCATACACATTAATACCTTTGGTCCTGAAACACACGAACAGTCACACCGAGATATATGTAGGCCTGTGTTGTACAAGAAGCACATGCGGCCATTTAAGTATAAATTAATTAAAATTAAAAATGCAGACATTCAGCTACACTATCCACTTTCCAAGAGTCCCAATAGGTACACGTGGCCGGTGGCTACCCTATTTTGACAGCATGGATGGAGAATACTTCCATCTTAGCAGAAACTTCTATTAGATGGCACTGATACAGACTACAGACAACCATGTTAGCTCAGGTCAGATTTTGTAGCCACACACACAGACACCTCTCAGTTTCAGAGCAGTTTTGATATGTGGACAGTGAACAGACGGCCATGGATACTTGTATACGTGGACAGGCCTGGCACTAGGGCCCGTGATGGAGTCTACAGAGGCTGCAGATACATCAGGCCTGTGCCCACTGTCCCAAGTTCTGGCCCTCTGCGCTGCATGATTTCCCCTAGTCCCCCATCCAGGTCCCATCCAGACCCACCTTTTCAAGCAGCGCATTCTGCCAGAGGCGGAAGATGAGGAGGAAGCAGCGGTCCCGGGCGCCAAAGGAGGTGAAGAAATGCTGCAGGAGAGAGAGGGGTGAGAGGGGGCGGGGGACAGACATGGCCCAGACCTCCATCCTGATGTATCCATCCATTCACCCCATCACTCACTCCACAGAATGTTTATCCTGTGCCCAGCCTGGCAGTGGACGATGCTGGAGTCACTGTGATGAGGAGATGGCCCCCGGCCCCGCCCCCAGAACTCACAGTCCAGGGCGAGAGACAGGTATGGCCCAAAGTGGTTGGCTGTGATGGGGGAAACCCAGGGCACCTCCCCAGCCTCCTTTGACCAGTAGGGGTGGTCGCCTAATCCATGTTTGACCAATAAAACACAAAGGGGATCTGCTGTGAAGTCTCCCCACCATTCCCTTCTCCCTTCCTGAGTCACTGGTGGGAGGCAGCCATCTTGGGACCACGAGGCAACAATCATCAGGACAGAATGGAGCGTCAGGGAAAGCTTCCAAGGACAGGGGGCATCTGAATTGACAGAGATGGGAACCCAGAGGGAAGAATTTTACTAATACTATTATCCCCGAGCAGCTGTGTGCAAGGACAGACTGACTAGAAGGACTGAGACGAGGGGCTGGTGTAGGGGGCCAGGGCGGTGGTGCTAGGCGCCCAGGCCAGTGGGATGGCAACGAGGTAAAGAGAAAGCAAGGGATCTGAGAGTTCAGGGTGCAGAATAAACAGGGCTCGGGGTGGGAGGGGCTGGCTAAGACCAGTGACCACAGCCCCCTGAGCAGGTGGTCGGCTCACCTTCTCACTCTCAGTGCAGATCTGGATGGCATTGGGGATCAGCTTGGCCGTCTTTTCCTTCTTCAGACACGTCACTTCCTTCAACTGGATAGAAATCTGGAGACAAAAGGCCAGTCAGAAGAGGCCAGGGCCCGGCCCGCCCGGAGCCCCTCCTTGACCCTGAGTCGGCTCACTGTCGTTTCCCAGCGGAAGATGTTGCTGTAGAAGCAGATCCAGTTCTCGGAGAGGTAAAGGCGGCCCTGGAGGAGGATCTCGCGCTGCAAGGCACAGGAGTAATCTGAGGCGGCCGAGGGGAGAGACGGCAGACACCCGAGTCACACACGCTGTGCTGGCCAGCGAGGGCGGGGAGAGGCGGGAAGGCAGAGCTGGGAACTCAGGGCCCGGCCCACGACTGGGTCTGGGCGTCCGGACTCACCCACAATGAGGCGTTCAGCCTCGGGGAGTTTGCTGAACAGTTTCCGGAAGTCCTCGTTCCGCTGTTTGTATGTGGGGCTCAGCATCTGGGGGGAGTTTGGAAGGTAAGAACCCGGATGGGGGTTCACACCCCTACTTCCGCCCCACAAAGCCCCCAGAAGGCCCGGAGTCTTCTGAGCCCCAGACAAGCTCTCTGTGGTTTCAAGCCTAGCTCACGTCTGGCCTCCACTGCCCATAACCCAAGACTAACCATGACAAGAGCCGTCATTTACTGATTTCCACATAAGCCAGGCCCTGCGCCCAGGACCCACCAGCACCACTGACTCTTAGGGAGTGTTCCCTTTAGGCTTGTCAGGTTGGGACAGCTTCTCAGGAAAGAGGCCCAGAGAAGTTTAACAACTCACTCAAGGTCACAAGGGAAGTCAGGAGCAGCACAAGGTGTGACCCTGGGTCAGCTGACCCCAGCACCCCATCCTTGACTGCTGCATCCTGGGCCTCCTGGCCCGTCACCTGCCCCCCTCCCTCGCTCCCCTCCAGCAAGGCCCCCTGCCCAACACTTACACTGTACCAGCTCTGCATCTTCTGCAAGAGAAAGGAGCAGAATCAGAATGAGCCCCTCACTCCCCTGCCCCTCCGCCCCTCTCCCCACCCGACCTGGGCTTGCACCTACCTTGCTGTTGCGGATGAAGTTCCTGCTGCCCAGGCTCTGGGTGCTGGGGGTCCCAGGCACGCCGCCCTTCTCCGAGGAGCTATCTGACCCCTTCTCCACCATGGTGCCTGGCTCAGGCTCGGGCGGGGGCCGGCTCGAGGGCAAGAGCTGCAGCCGCTTGCGGAGAGATGGGGAGCTGCTCGGCGTGCTCCGGCCGGAGTGGGGGGTGGTGCTGGGGGAGGAGGAGAAGAGGGGCATTGGGGGGGAAACAGGCTAGGTGCGGGCACAGGCCCAATTTGGGAGGACACACAAGAGCCCACGGACCCCACCCACACACTCCACTCCCGTTCTTTGCGGGGTGACCGAGCAGCTCCCTAACTCTGCACCTCAGTGACTCCCTCCGTGATCCAGGGGTGACAGACACTTGTCCTCATCTGCTTGTTTGGACAGCTAAACCAATCAACACATATAACGTGCTTCTAGTAGAGCCTGGCATATAGAGAGGTCTCCCTGTCTTTAAAATTACTTTATTAACTCATTTGTACAATAAATATTTATGGAGTAGCCACTTTCCAGTCCACTGCTTTAGCTAAAAAACCTAAGCGTCTTCATTTTTTCCCTGTTCACTCTTCATTTCTAACCTATTAGCAAGTCCCACCCGCTCTACCTCCAAAATCTACTTCCATTATTTCTATTATATCCCTTTCCCCTGCTCCGGAGCCCTGGCCCAGCCTCCACCCTCCCCCTCGGACACCACAGCAGCCCCTGCCTGGGCCCCCTGGCCCCATCCCCACCCCTCGCCAGAGGGAGCGTGTGAACCCGAGTCAGGTCAGGGACCTCCTTGCAAAGGCTGCACCCTCCCCTTAGCACCCAAGGCCCTGCTGTGGCCTGTCACAGCCTCCACTCCAGCCACCCCAGGTCCCTAAGTATCACTGACTGCCTTCCCACATCAAGGCCCCTGCAGTTCTGTTCCCTCTGCCCAGAACATCATTCCAAAGCCCAGCCTAACAGATTCTGTCTCATTTGGCTCAAATGCCCCTCCTCCCCTGGGGATCCAGCCCCTGAAGCCCACCTCACACTACCTCAACTCCTCCTGTGGGCTTATTCCGTTTGCCTAGTGTTGCCTCTCGCTGAATTAACGAGGCCTTGGTTGTGTTCCTGGCACCCAAAACTGTACCCAGCATGCAGTCAACTGCCAATGCACACCGGGGACCACACGAATGATCTGTGCACCGGCTGGAGAGGGAACAGCACAGGGACACTTGGCTCTGTACCAAGACTCGGGCACGCTCTCTGGATCATTACTAATTCTTCCGGCAACCCTGTGCACGTGACACTGTCACCATCCCTGCTTTACACAGGAAGAAGCTGAAGCAGAAAGCAGCGAGCCACTTGTCTAAGGAAAAGGAGCAGCTTCTTAAAAAAAAAAGTTCAGGGTGGGGGGGAGTGGCAGAGAGAGAGGGAGAGAGAGAATCCCAAACAAACTCCACACTGTCTGTGCAGAGCCCAGTACGGAGGTGGGGGGGGGGGGCCCTAGATCCCACAAATTGCGAGATCGTGACCTGAGCTGCAATCAAGAGTCTGACGCTGAACTGGCTGAGCCATCCAGGTGCCCCCTGCACAGCTGCTTCAAGTTGGCAGGCTCCTACCGTGGGGGCCTCCATCTACTCCAGCCAGAGTCCCCGGATCCCTTGGGGCTCCTCAGACTTCCCTCTCTTGCCTCCAATCCTCAGCACATGCTATTCCCTTGGTGCAGACTGCCCTTTGCCTTCTTTGCCTCGCGAATTCACGTGCACCCTCCAGGACTCATGCTCAGCACCCCTCCCTCCCGGACAAAGCCTCCCTGCTGTGCGTCCTTCCCTCCTTCCCAGAACCAGCACCCGCCGCCACTCTGCCTCTGCTTCCCCCATCCCAGCCTTGACTACTCCCGGGCTGTCACTGCCTGGTGACAGCTCCATTTCCCCCGCAAATCCGCAAGGTCCCCGGTGGCCAGCCTTAGTGATGCTGTGGTCACTGCTCGGTCCCCAGTATTGCTTGGGGTGGGACCCAGGGTAGGCATTCATATCACACTTGTCAAACTGTGAAATAAAATAATAAGTAAATAAATAAATGAAATAGGTGGTGACCCAGGTGGTTGCCGTTCCCCCGCGGACTACTGGAGCTGGCTTCTCCCAGGTCTCCCTGTCCCCCTTTCCCCTGCTCTGCTCCCCACCCGCGGCCAGAAGGGGCCTGTGAACCTGAGGCAGGTTGGGACCCCCTGCCGCACCGGACTCCAGCTAAAAGCCCAGGGCTGGATCTTGTCATCAACCCCTTGCTCACTCTTCCCCAGGTCCTGCCTTGGCTGTTCCTCTGCCCTAACGCCCCCCCTCCCAGGTGTCTGGAGGGCTCCTGAGCCTCCCCAGGTTTCTGCTCAGTGGATGCTTCTCCAAGTCTCAGTTCTCTATTGAAGTCACATTCCTCGCCTCTCCATCCTCCTCCCTCTTCCTCTTTCTCCTCAGCCCTTCCTCCACTTGAACTTCTGGAATCTCTTTCTCCACGCTCCACGGGGGAAAGGAGTTTGTCTCCAGCTGCATCCCTACTGTCTGGAACTAAGCAGAGTAGCTGCTCCGTGAGCATCTGCTCCCTGTGGACTGAATGAATGACTGACCCTCTCCCGCCCCTCGGGGGAACCTGAATTCAACCAGATGTGAGACTTGCCCAACCCATCAGTGACCCCCAGCCACTTATTCCCTGTGTGACTTTGGGCAAGTGTCTGCACCACTCTGTGCTTCAGTTTCTTCTTGAATACAATGGGAATCATAATGGCATCCACCTCACAGGGCTGTCTGGGGGTGAAAGTGAGGTAATATACAGTTGACCCTTGAACAGCATGGGTTTAAGCTGCGGGGGGAGGGCCACTTCTATGGAAAGTTCATTCAATAAATACAGTAGTCTTGTAAATGTATTTTCTTTAGGATTTTTTTTCTTTTAAGCAGGCTCCACGCCCAGCCTGGAGCTCAAGGTGGGGGGTTGAACTCACAAACCCGAGATCAAACCTGAGCTGAGACCAAGAGTCAGTTAAGACTGAGCCACTCAAGGAGCGCCTGGGTGGCTCAGTCGGTTAAGCATCCAGCTTAGGCTCAGGTCATGATCTCAAGGTTAGTGGTTTCGAGCCCTGCGTCGGGCTCTGTGCTGACGGCTAGTTCAGAGCCTGGAGCCTGCTTCGGATTCTGTGTCTCCCTCTCTCTCTCTCTGACCCTCCCCTGCTTCACCCTGTTTCTCTTTCAGAAATAAATAAAACATTTAAAAAAATTAGAAAAAAAAGACTGAGCCACTCAAGTGCCCCATTTTATGATTTTCTTAATACCACTTTTTCTAGGTTACTTTATTGTAAGAATACAGTATATAATATAGACAGTATACAACATACATATTACTCTATGGTTTATGTTATCAGTAAGGCTTCTGGTCAACAATAAACTAAGTAGCTACGTTTTGGGGGAGTCAAAAGTTACACACCAGTTTCCCACTGCATGGCAGGTCGGCTCCCCAACCTCCATGTTGTTCAAGGGTCAAGGGCACATGAAGGCCCAGCGCATGGAAGGCACTCCGCTCTGATCAGGAAGGACTAGGACTAAAATGGAGGACAAGGTCCCGCCACTGTCCCAGCGCACCTGTGTCCAAGATGCAAATGCAGACCCTGATGGTACAATAAACTCTCAGCCTGGGGCTCAGAGCCCAAACAGACCCCAGGCTCCCCCATTCACCAAACATGCGCTGATCACGTGCCCCGCACCAGGCACTGGGGACACAGAAGTGAGCAAAACGGATACCTTCCCTGCCTGCAGGGACCTGACATTCCGAGCTGATCGGGGAACAGAGATGATCAACAAGAAAACATGTAAATGAAGACGCTTATCTCCGAGGCCGGTCACTGGGAATTTGTGAGAAATGCAGATTCGGGGACCCGCAGCAAACCTCCTGAATCAGACACTAGAGGTGGGGCCCAGGAGACTGGTGCACGCTCAAGTTTGAGGACCACAGAAATAAAGGAGGGCTAAGCAGGCAGGTGGGTGCAGTGCAGGGCACACCTGAGCTGAGCCCGAGGACAAAGGGCGGCTCTGGCAGAGGAAGACTGTTTTAGGGACAGGAGCATGGAGGTCATGGGCAGGACAGAGCCTGGCAGGTCTGAGGAGTGAGGTGGCCAGTGGGGCTGGAGGAAGGGGAACGGGAGGGAACAGGCCCACCTGCAGGCCCTGAAGACCTTGGTCATGAGCTTGGGCTTCACCCTGAGGGCACTGGGGAGCTATGGAAGGGTTCTGAAGGAGGGGTGACCACATTCCTCCCCTGCCTCATCTTCTCACCTCTCTACTCCCCGTGTCCTAGCCTCCCACAGCTCCAGGTCTAGGGGAGGGCGCCTTAGGACAGGTGAAGTAACACACAGACAGGGCAGGTCTCGCCCCCCCCCCCTGCCCCCCAGGTCTGGTTCCTTTGTAGGAGGAAGAGGAAGTGCTTGAGGGCAGGCACAGCCCTGAGGCTGCCCAACCAGACAGGCTGCGGCAGAGGGAAGGGAGGAGCCCTTCGTGGCTGGAGGACTGTTGGGGGGGGGTGGGGATAGGGACTCAAGAAGACAACAGGGTTTTGCCCCTGCAGATACGGACTTCCTGGGCCTACACAGGCCTCGGGCTCCCTCTCCTCACAGAGGAACAGACGCACACACAGGTGTGCATAAAACGGAACCCCGGTGTGGGTGCCACGCCGCCAGCATCACAGGCAAACTGTACCTCCCCACTGTGGCAAGAAGTCCCCCCCACCCCACCCCCGGCCACAGCAGCGGTATCACAGGTGTGTCACCCTCACACACAGAACCACAGAGTGCCAGCGTAATGATACCCCCAGCTCCAGCACGAGTATGCTGCAGCCACAAAGTCCCAGACGTTACACACACATGCATGTGCGTGATGCGTCCATGCAGCTGCAGAGGGTCACAGAAACCACAGAAAGTCCCACCTAAATTACATGCATGCATACAGCCACGAGACAGCTAAGAGGTGAAAGCAAATAACATGCTGCAGAGAGCACCATACAAGTAAAAGAACAGTCACAGAACTCAGCCAACACAGAATGATAAATTTAAGCCACAGGCGCAGCTCGATTCTCCGGATGTTCACCAACTACTGGTGGGGAAGACAAAGGGAAGGCCTGCTCTAACGTGGCGAGGGATGGAGGGGCCAGCTTGTCGCTGCCAGGGAA